TACATGTACCCTGACCGGGAATCTAACCTGCAATGTTGGCGTATCTGGACGATGCTCTAACCAATTGAGCTACCTGGCCAGGGACCAGCTTGATAGGATTTAAATGAGATGATGTATAGAATGTGATGAGCTCAGTGAGTATCTCATAATGAGCACTGAAAACATTAGTTCCCTTCTCCCCTCCCCTGCTGCACACTCAGAAGGCAAGGAGATGAATCGGTGCAGGGCCAAAGCCCAGGCCTCTTCCCCAGGCGAGCAGTCTCACACTCTGGACAGCCACGCATCGCTCTGAAGCAATTCCCGGCTTGCCCTAGAGACTTTACCAGCCCCCTGTGACAGGCATCTAGCTGGTGGTTACAAGTGGCAGAAAACAGACACAAGTGGGTTCAAATCCCAGTCCTGCAGTTACTAGCCATGTGACCCTAGGCAAGTTAGCTAACCTCTCTGTGCCTCAGTTTGCCCATCTGTTCAGTGGGGATGATGACATTAACAGCTTCATAGGGTTGCTAAGAGTAAGTTAGTTAAATTTGTAAAATGCTTAAAATAAGACCCGACACAATGTAAGTGCTTCGAATTTATTTAATAAATATTTAACAAGAACTGCTATGGACAGGACTTGCGAGTGGATGCTGTCCCCAAGCCAGTCAGGCTCAGTCCCCTGGGGGAAAATCCTCCCCAGTGGGAGAGTGTTTCCAAGGAAAAGTGTGGTGTGGAAGGCCCCTGGTCCACACCGAGGGCCTCCCCGAGGAAGCGACATTTGTGAAAACCTGGAATTATTATTGGTAAAGCTGGGAGTCTCTTCTTCAACCGAGTATTGATTTTTTTTTTTTTCCTGCCTGGTTCTGTTGAGGCGGCTCCTGGCGTAGGGAAGCAAGGAAGCCTCCTGATATTCAGCGTAAAAAGGAACAGAGGCCGTGGGGCAGTGAACAGGCCTGTGCTGAGCTGAGCAGAGGGAGCCTGCGGCCGTGGGGAGCAGGGTTGTAGACACGAGGATTCCTGAGACAATCTCTCCCAGGCCAAGAGGCTGTGTTTCCCCGGCCAGTGGCCTGGCCTGAGGAGGGAGAAAGAGGATCAAACAAAGAAGGGTGCCATACCCCGTGCTGTCCACTGGGTGGAGCATGTTAGCCAAAGAAGGGGCCTTGGACCTACTGCCTCCCCAGAAGATCTCTGCTTTGGAGAAGATAGATGCCAGGTCGGACTGGTGAAGAGGCAGACCTGCCAAGACCCTCCTCCGCAGGTAACAGCCATCAAACTTGCTCAGGCCCGTGGGCCGTGCCAGGGCCTATCCTGGTCCAAGAAAAGCGTCTATGGACGTAACAAATTTTAAAATGTCAGAGCCAAAAAGTGGCATAGGAGGCCCCTGAGTCTGACCTTCTTTTCCGAAAATTGGAAATGGGACGGCCAAGCCGGGAGGAGACTTGACTAGCCTCCTCCAGGCTAGGCTGTGTCAGACCAGCCAGCACGCAGGTCTCCTGAATTCCTGGTCACGCCTCTGTCATTCTGAACTGTTTCTGAGTTGCTCAGACAGGTTTCCTTCCCCTGTAGACCTTCCAATGTAGGTATGAATCTATATATTTTACACCGATGATAAAGTCTGAGGAAACTGATGCTAAGGGAGGAGTCAGAGGAGCGTACAGCTCCCTCTAGTGGTGGAATCCGCTTGGGTCTCCCCCTCCCTGGAACTGGCCTGTCGGCTTGTTTTTCCCTCCCTCTGCTCCCTTGTTCCCTTCACAAAGAGCTTCTTGGACCTCTGGTCCAAAAGGGCCACCCTTCACCCACTGTCGCAGACTCTCCCTTGATCTTCTCCATTGTTCTTCAGAGCAGGCGCGTCTACCTGACATCGCATTGTACACACACACACACACACACACACATTTTGTTTGATTATTGTCCGTCTCCCCTCTAGGATGGGAGCTCAGTGAGTTCAGGTTCACAATGTATCCATCCGCAGTACCCAGAAAAGTGGTACATAGTCGATGCTCAACACAAATTTATTTAATTAACAAATTAATGAAAGCCCATGGTTTCAAATCTTTATCTATCTATAAAACAGATTCTTGTGCAGATCAAATTAAGTAGTATATAAAACAACTTGGCCACCTGTCAAGAATAAATAAATGCAAGGGGTGCCCACTCACAGAGCAATGGGCTGAAAATTAGCAAAAACGAGGGCCCTATGTCATATACTGTGACAATCATTATCAAGTATTTGTATTAATTTGTTTATTTAGTTTTATCTCTTCTTGTCCCAAAACAAAACAAAACAATGCTTGCTCACGGCACATTAAGATGCACACAATTCAAACAGCCACATAAGCGAGGCGTGTGTGATGCTTTGCCTCAGGCAGCAGCCAGGCCTGGAACGAACAGCTGATCTGCTGGATGCAAAGTTGACTCAGAAATGTCAGAAGCATTTTCTGTTTACAAAAATACATTGAAGTTGGTGAGCACTAAAGCGAAGTAAAACAAAATTAGAAAAATAAAAGGCAGCCAGAGAAAAGGCTGATCCATTAAAAGCAGACCATGAAAATCTATCGGTACCGAGAGTGGGACACAAATTTAGGTCCTCACACCCACTGGGGACGGACAGTGGGAAACCTGATCGTCACAGCATATGCCAGTGGCTGGCCGCCCGCAGGGCTGGGCTGCGAGGCCCCAAATAGAGTCCAGGATCTGGGGACAGGGACTTTCCACACGGGGGCTTTTTTCTGTTCAGACTCAGCCGGCCGTAAGCTAGACTTGAGAACCAAGCTAAAATTTAAAAGATTATCCCTTTGCCTTGGTATTTTTCATCTCTTGTAAGTCAATAGGAGATTCAAAGACTCTGACTTTAAATCTCTCCCAGTTGTTCAGTAGCATTAAAAAAAAAAAAAACATATATTAAGAAAAGTGGAGCAAGTTCTAAATAAAGATAAGCTGATGAAATTGAGACAACTGGGAAAAGTTGGGGAAGCCGACCTCAAAAAGACCAGAGAGACATTGTTTCACTCGGAAATCTTTCCCCCTAAATTATCGGAAGAAAGCAGGGACCTCTCACGCTTGACAATGGCCTGGAGAGCTGGTCTCGCCTGGAGAGGCCGTCCTGGCTCCATCCGCGAAGGCACAGAGAGCTCACCATTGGAAGGGACCGAGTGCTGTCGCGGGTTTTAATGGTGAGTTCTCCAAGGCCCTGGCTTGCTGGACATGAGAAGTGACAACTCCTGGTCAGCCTGACTCCCATGAGAGGCCTCATGGCTGCAGTAGAGGCCTGGGGTCACCCTCACAGGCCCCTGAACTCCCCTTCACCTTCTGTCCCCTGTGAGTGACAAGATCCTTGCTAGTTCCAAAGCTGGTTTCTAAACCGAAGGTAGAAAAAATCTTGGCCTGAATCATAAGAGCCAGAGACCACCCTAAAGAGACGACACAGTTGTTCGCCCAGAAGACTCGATCAAGAGGCGGCTGAAGAGGAACGGCGCCTGCAGGGGAACTGTCCTGGGTCAGAATCAAAGCAGCTGGGAGCGCCAGTCCCTGAGGCAGAGCTGAGTCCTCGCGTTGTCAGGCAGAAATGGTCTCAGACAAGTTGCCAAGTTCCCCAAATCTCAGTTCGCTCACCTGTGCAATGAGCACCAATCATGAGTGCCCTGATTGCCCGCTGGAATGAAGGAGGAAACGGGCAGGAAAGGGTCCATGGAAAGAACTGCCAGACACTAACAAGCAATTGTTAGAATAGCCTACATCGCAGCGTCTCCAGGAATGAAGAAGGTAGAGCAGCTGCCGTGTTTGGGCACCTGCTTTGTATCGTGCTTTTCCATCTATAGGAGCCAAACCCTACAATGGAGCTATAATTATCCCCCGTGAACATGGGGGCAGATGAGACTCAGAGAGGGAGAAGGACCCTCCAAAGTTCATTCATAAAGGGCAGAGTGGGCCCTGGCTGGTGTGGCTTAGTTGGTTGAAGCATTGTCCTGTAACTGGAAGGTCACCGGTTCAATTCCTTGTTGGGGCACATACCTAGGTTGCAGGTTCAATCACCAGCTGGGGCGCATATGGGAAGCAACCGATTGATATCTCTCTCTTTCCCCCCCTCCTTCTGTCTCTCCCCCTCTCAAATAAGGATAAAATAAACCTTAAAAGAAAAGTCAGAGTGGGGATTTGAACTCTCATCTGTCTAGCTTCAAGACTCTCTACACCCCTCTGTGTCTAATAAAAAGTCAAGGGGCAAAAGTGATATATTACAGGTTAGTGTAAAAAAATATATGACAGGTATGATAGCTGAAAACCTAAGAAGATTCCTGAGGAAGATCGTTGACCTTCTATTTAATTTTAAAATGGGGACATGTCCTCCTGGCCCCAGCAGAGTTTGGCTGTGCAGGGTGGTGGGAGGAAACCGTGGCCCTGGGCGGGCTGGCACCCTTGGGTCCCTTCAGTGTGGAGGGCTGGTGGGGAAGGGTGTCCCCGTACCCTTCACCCAGTGACTGGCAGAGCCATGTGGGCATGGCAAGTGGCCAGCCAGGACTGGGCTTCTAAGAAGAGAGGACAGGAGGCAGGACGGGCAGAACGAGAAGTCTGCTTCGGGGCTCCCTCTTGTCCCAGTGTCAGGAGTGAATAGGCAGGGGGCAGACAGGCTGTCGCCAGAAGGGGCAAGCTGGATGGCCTCCCTAGATAACCGAATGGTTCAATGATGTCCGAGTGGCACTGCGCACGTTCTAACCTCTCCCCGCACTTACTGGTGCCACTGTCCCCTCGCTCTCCTCTCACTCCCTCTTCCACCCTCCACGTGCCTCTCTCTCCTGTGACCTTTCAGCCCCCTTACTTCCTGTGCCCTCGCCCTCTGCTCTCCCTCCTGCCTCTGCCCTCGCTGCACCTCTGACAGACGACGGTATCAGCGAATCCCTCCCCAGTGGCACAGAGAACTTTTTTATTCATTGCATGATTTATTTTTAGCCTGAAACAAGTGCATCCTAAAAATGGAGTTCCTGATGGGACAGGGGCTGGGCAGAGCTATGCGAGGTATCTGGGGCTTGGCCGCCCGGCCTGGCTCCCAGTCCACACATGTGCGTGCGTGCGTCTGTGTGTGTGTGAGAGCCTTTGCTCTCTTCTTCCTGTGCCCACGGCTGCAGCGGCTGGAGCCGAGGAGGTGAAGAGTTGGTTTGAGGCCCAGGAAGGGCAGGAGGGACAAAATCAGCCTCTCCTAAGAGCTTCACCTCCTTTTGCCTGCACTCCATATTTCTGGGCAAGAAAAGGCAAACTCTCCCCAGATGAAGAGGACTTACCTGTTTGTCATGGGGGTCTACCTGCTGTCCTACTGCAGGGCCGAAGAGGGGCTGAACTTCCCCACGTACGATGGCAAGGACCGCGTGGTGAGTCTTACTGAGAAGAACTTCAAGCAGGTCTTGAAGAAATACGACCTGCTCTGCCTCTATTACCATGAGCCCGTGTCTTCAGATAAGATTGCCCAGAAACAGTTCCAGATGAAAGAAATCGTGCTGGAGGTAAGTGGGGGGCGCGCTGACCGCCGTCCCGGTGAGCTCGGGCCGGCCAGTGGGGCCGTGGGCGGGAGGGTGCAGAGCACCTATCCTGAGATCCCGCTGCATTCCAGTCTCAGGTAAACCTGAAGGTATTCCTGTTGCAAAGCAGGGGGGCTGTGAACCGGCTGAGCCAAGGCACTGAAAATGCGGACAGTGGCATGTGTCTGACTTAAAGTCTGTCGCATGGTGGTCTCCTCCAGATTTTTCAAGGGCAGTAGTCCCAGCTGCTGTTTTAAGGACAGAATTAAAACTATTGTTAAAAAGACTGGCTGACATGAAATTCCTGGGGGCATTGGTGAGTTTCATCCGGTTTCATGCCGATAACCCTCTCTTTGCACTTTGCCCATGACCCCAGACAGACAGGGGGCCTTTGACCTTGCCTCTCCTGGTGGGTCGGACAGGGAACATCACTAAGCGACTATCCTTCCTTGTGGTTTGGTTTCTGTCCCCATCACACAGTGTGGATGTGTGAAGACCTTAGCTGCACGCTCAGTGACAGGAATTTCTGTTTCCCTCAGAAAGTTCTTGGTGTGAGTTCAGGGCTGACACTGAAGTCAGTTCTTATTTTGTCTGCGTTACGTGGCCTGCTTGCAAACCTGGAGCCGGGGCGCGTTCTCGAAACCCGGGTGGGGGCCCTAGGATCCCCCTGCAGCTGCCCGGACAGTCTAAGGTCACGCACACCCAGGAGCACCGTGGGAGCCAGAACCCCAGCACTCACCCGGGCCGCTTGTCCGTTCCCATGCCCGGCCCTGTCCAGGCACAAAGCGATGAAAAGGACTATCTGCAAATCACAGCGGTTTATTAACCACCACAAAGCTCTGCTTAATCAAATACTTGAACCGATTTAACATATAAAGCCCACATGGGTTTGAATTCTCAAAAAAAAAAAAAAAATCAGCTGATAAAATCCAGGAAAACCATCCCAAGCATGTCAAAATAGCCTTGATAATTTAAAGAGCACCTCAGACTCCTAGGAGTCTCCTGGTCATCACACCAACGCCTGTTTCAGAGGGTTTGTGTGCGTCAGGGTGCTCGTTAGGGGAGCTCTCGTCAACGAAGGGTTAAGTGTTTTTAAAATCCCATCACTACCAGTCTGTTTCTCCTTGGGCTCTGTGCAGGGGGCTGGTGTGGATTCCCTCTGTGGGTTGCAAGGAAGAGAAAACAGGGCTGTCTTAGGTCCTTGGAGCAGAGACATGGGAAAATCGCAGGCCGGAAAAACCAGGACGTCCAGCCGAGCTGCTCGAGCTGCTAGTAAAATCCTCACTCACACCATCGTCTCCATTTCAAAGTGCCCTACTCAATTACTGGGAGATATTTTTATAAAAAATTTAATTGAAGGCATAAGGATTCTACTTACATGCTCATCACTGTGTAGTTAGCCTAGAACTCAAAAAAAAAAAAAAAAACACAAAAAAACCCAACCCAGTGCCTGCAGAGAGTGACGAGGGAAGGGGGAGGGGAGGCAGAGGAAGCGGATGCCCTCAGAAGGAAAAGGACGTAGAACTTAGGGGCAGAAGATGGGGATTTATATTCTAGTACATTTACATGGTAATAATCATCATATAGACTCATGAGATCATTAGATAAAAATAATGAACATTTATTGAACACCTACTGTGTGCAGGGACTGCGTTAAGCACTTTGTACGTGTTAGCTGGTTTTGTCCTTACAGTATTTCTATAGCGTATGTACAGCTACCACCCCCTTTCACATATGGGGAAACTGAGGCACCGACAGGCTACGTTGCCCAAGGGCATGCAGCCGGTGCAGGCGCAGCCGCCTGGCCCTTCAGCTGCTGAACCTATGAGGCAGGTAGGAGGCTCAGCAGCGTTTCAGGAGTCTGGTTGACAGGGAGTCGCTCCGGACTCGAGCCTGGGTTTGACGATGCAGCGGTATCCCCCACGGGGCTGGCTGAGCAGCACAGAACCCTGAAGGTACTGCTGATGCAAGTGCCCAAACCAGGGAGGAGGTGCGGCGGAGGCGGGGCGGGGGCGGGCCTTAGCCGAGATATCTGTCAGGCACGGCCTGTTTCTCAGAACCGAGGAAAAAACTGGCTCCAGGAAACCCCTGGGTGGGAAGCGGGGGTGGACCTGAGCCTCTCGATATCCTTCACGGTCAAGCGACTCTTTTGTTCTCTTAATTCCCTGGACCCCAAACCTGCACCAAGGAAAATCTGATTGGGAAGCCCACACTGGAGCACGCCACCCCTCAAGCATTTCAGCCTGAGACATGCTGATGTTGGAGGACTTTTCTGGCAGCGTTAGTGGAGCGTGAATGCTCTGCCAGTTCCAGGGCTGGGCGGAGGGGATGCAAGGGCGGGAGGAGGCCGTTCCCGCGGACGTGCACCGGCGGGGCGTCTCGGCCACGCGCAGGTCGGGGGCCAGGCTTCTTCCCTCCAAGGAGTGGCAGAACGGGACTTTGATGTTTTGGGGTTGGTTTTTTTTTTATTGTAACTCACACCGACACACGTACACAAATGAAACAAAAATTTCATAAAACAATCCATATCATATTCTGTTGTATTTCACTTAAAAATTTTTGATCCAAACCAATGAAATTGATTTCCCTCTCCCATGGCGAGCTGCCACCCCAGCTTAAAATAATCTGAGGACTTGTAGGGGTTAGGAGGTTAGGGATTCGAAGTTCATGACCTGTCACATCAGGGCTACCCCATTCTGATAGAAATCCAAAGATTCTATGGTCACTTACATATACTTTGTTTCTTCTTCTAAGGCAGCGATTTTCAACCTTTTCTGCCTCTGGCACACATAAACTAATTACTAAAATTCGGTGGCACACCAAAAAATACATTTGTTTGCCGATCTGACCAAACAGGTATAATTTTGATTTATTTATACCAGGTGGCTGTTGTTGTGTTGGTTGTTGTCATTTTTATAAGTGATAATCTAAGCGGAAAAGTGGTCCGTGCCGCTGATTAAATAACCAGGGATTGCCTGTTTTAAAAGTTCTTGCGGCACACCAGCTGCAAATCATCGCTCTAAGGGGTGGCAGTAAAGAAACCCAGAAACAGGCCCTCTACAGGGCCCGGAGGTCACTGCTGGACTCAGGGCCTTGAAACGTCCTTCCGTGAGTCCTGCACCTCTCGCTTACTCTGGGTTGGGCCTTGGGGTAGATGCTGTGGACACAGGGAACACGGGACGCTCAGGTGGCTCACAGCGTAATACGAAAGACAACATGCAAGAGAGAAGGCACACAGCAATGGGGACATTGTCAAAACATAGAGACCAGCGGGGTCCTCTGGGAGTGCAGAGGAAAGAGGGAGCCTCTGACCCTGGCCCCCTGCACTGTGGTGGGAACGAGGGAGCTGAGACGAGCAAGAAGTGGATTGTGCAAACGAGTACAATGTACCAGGCCGGTAAGCAAGGGTTGGGCAGGGAGCGCCAAGAGCAAAAAACCTGACAGCTCCCAAATATTTTCCCACCTGCTAGCTTTCTCCTAAAACTGGCTATGAGGGCTTCATTTCTTCAGGGGAGGAGTTTTACCCCTACGTAGGCAAGCCCCCTTCGGAGGTAGTTCTTGAAGAGGTTGCCAGTCATGTGGACCTCCTTCTGACCACGTGTGAGTTCTGGGGTAGAGTAGTGCTTGAAAAGGGGAGGAAAAGAAGGGAAACATTGTAAGGCCACTAAAAGCTTCAACAGAAAAGGGGCCAATAAAGTGATACTAGAAGGCACCAAACTCAAACTTTGCTTTCCAGTTTGGCAGGGGTCTAGCTGTGGAGCGCCCCAAGGTGGGTGCACGGTACCTAGTTCTACACAGATGTTCTATAAGTCCTTATTGAGTGGGTAATTGAAATGTTTCAGCTCAAAAGAACCTGGGGAACCATCCAGATTGTTCTGAACCCCTCATTTCATCAATGTGGCCCTGTAGCGTTATGACTCACTCAGCTGGTAATCCCGATTCCTGCTTGGGCACTTGTCACCCCCAAAACAGCGTGCACTCGTTTAGGAATGTTACAATGTGTAGAAAAAGAAAAAGAAAGCAATAAAAATTGCCACTCAGGAATAAATATTATTAATGTTTGAATAGGTTCCTTTCTGGTATTTTTTTTCTTACACATAAACACACATTCTTCAACTGGATTTATGCCACATACAGAGTTTTGTTTTCTGATTTTCATTTCAGTATATTGTGAGTGTTCCTATGTCATTACGTAGTTTTATATCCTTTACAAACATAATGTCAACACAAGTATAATATTCCATTGTATGATTGTACATGCTTTTTAAATAATTTCTCTACTTTTGGATACTGGCATTTTTCAGGATTTTAAAAACTTTGTTTAGATTTTCATTGCTGTTTTAATGAACATTCTTTGATTTCTAGCTAGATTGATTTTTTCCATAAAGTTATTTTCCATTTACATTTTTTCTTCTGTGCATTATTTTGCTATGACTTTTCCCCATTTTTCTGTTGAGGTGTCCACACAATTGTAAAGAGAGTTGCAATTTTGTATGCTGTCTCCTTCAGCTTCAGTCAAGATAGCAGATTTAGCCAACACCACAGCAGCCAAACCCTCTTTAGCACTGCAGGACTCAGGAACGCGAGAGGGAGATATGGGCAACGTACTCCCCTCCTCTTCGCTGCTTCATCACCTGCTCGGCTTCCCCCTTGAACCTGTGGTGCAAAGCACTGCTTCTAGCATGTTCTATAAATACTGCCAGAAAGCCCCGCACGTCACAATCTCTCTCGGGCTGAAATACTGGAGAGGTGGCGTGCTCCGGCACGGGCTTCCGGATCAGACAGACCTGGGTTCAGCCCCAGGGAAGAAGCCTGCCCACGTTCAGGTTCATTACTTGTGACGTGGACACGGGCGGTGATGTGAGCATTCGGTGTGGTAGCTATGCAAGAGCACAGCTTCTGGACACAGACGGCACTCAGCACTCTCCCGGCCAGTCTGGATTTTAGACTCAGCCCAGCCTAACCCCCTTATTTCACAGACAGAG